TATACATACCTAAGCGCCCTAGTGGCCAAAATAGACTTTAAATGTACCAATACATTCCTCCAACCTTATTTGTCGGGGCATAATACTTGGCCGAAAATGCAAGTCCTATTAGGGTCGAAAATCCCTTTGGTTGAAGTATTCAGTGAAGAAATAATAATAGTATTATTTGCGGAATGATTAACTATATTACCCGTACTTCCTTGATATTGATTTTATTTATACATGTAATATTAATCGAATGGTTGTCATTGTTGACATTATTATTCATCTTTGTGTGTAATGATATTCGTATTAGATCAGTATTTTACTCATGTCGCGTTTCCGGGCGCGCCAGCCTAAGTGAGGGGGGCGCGCCAGCCTAAGTGAGGGGGGCGCGCCAGCCTAAGTGAGGGGGGCGCGCCAGCCTAAGTGAGGGGGGCGCGCCAGCCTAAGTGAGGGGGGCGCGCCAGCCTAAGTGAGGGGGGCGCGCCAGCCTAAGTGAGGGGGGCGCGCCAGCCTAAGTGAGGGGGGCGCGCCAGCCTAAGTGAGGGGGGCGCGCCAGCCTAAGTGAGGGGGGCGCGCCAGCCTAAGTGAGGGGGGCGCGCCAGCCTAAGTGAGGGGGGCGCGCCAGCCTAAGTGAGGGGGGCGCGCCAGCCTAAGTGAGGGGGGCGCGCCAGCCTAAGTGAGGGGGGCGCGCCAGCCTAAGTGAGGGGGGCGCGCCAGCCTAAGTGAGGGGGGCGCGCCAGCCTAAGTGAGGGGGGCGCGCCAGCCTAAGTGAGGGGGGCGCGCCAGCCTAAGTGAGGGGGGCGCGCCAGCCACGCCAGCCTAAGTGAGGGGGCGCGCCAGCATTTAGTCATTTATAATGAGCAATATATCTATTTCCCCTCTTACTCCAGCTAGGCTAATACCGAGCTTACTGTGGGAGCATTGCTTATAGAAGTGTGGGAGGTGGGAGCAGGGCGGTGGGTGGACAGCGCTTCGAATTCGTAGGCCTGAGGTTCCAGGTTCGATCCCCGGTGGAGGCAGAGACAAATGGGCAAATTTTTTCTTTCACCCTGATGCCCCTGTTACCTAGCAGTAAATAGGTACCTGGGAGTTAGATAGCTGCTATGGGCTGCTTCCTGGGGGGGGGGGGGTGTAACAAAAAAAAAAAAACAAGAGGACCGGGCCGCGGGGACACTACGCCCCGAAATCATCTCAAGATAGGCGGGAGCGGTAGCGCACACACCACAGTACAGAACATTCAGTCAAATTGAAATAAATTTAGACATTTGATATACATATATATATGTATATATATGTATGTATTATATATATATATGTATGTATATATATATATATATATATATATATATATATATATATATATATATATATATATATATATATATATATATATATATATATATATTATTTATTATATATATTATATTATATATATTATATTATATATATATTATATATTATATTATATATATAAACTAGGGAAGGGAGTAACACCTCTGGCTTGAAGAAGGGGGCACCTCATAGCCTCTGAGAAAAGCACACACAACGCCTTGTACGCCTTGTCGGGTTCCTCCAGCTCCTCAGCTGGCCGGCAGGAACCACGGATGCAGTGTGCGTTTCCTCTCTGGATTTCTGGAGCGTTTCTTCTTCATACTAAGGCGCTGAAAGAGTAACTGACGGCTCTAGGGTCTCTAGTTGTTCAATTAGGTTAGAACTTAGCTCCTTAAAAAAAAAATAGCAGCACTTTTACCCCAGGCACCAAGTGTATGAGACAATGGGGACAAAATTGTAGTGGTGATCAAGATTTCTATATTTACGAGACTTGGGTGCTTCTCCGTGAGTGGCAGCACCGCCTGGATGTACTACACTGAAGTCAACATAGATGTTGGCTAAAGTTGAAACGCAAGAAAACCCACACCAACTGTCTACCATTCTCCAGGGGTCCATTGTGAGGATGTCGAGACATACCAAGTTCTCCACTTGGGTGCGTGTAATATATATTTTTCGTTAAATCAGTTCAGATTTCGTGTGCCAGACACCCTCTCCTGTTTAGTAAATTCAGTACAAGACTACTCGAGCCAAAGTAGAGGACTCTTTAGCCAGGATATACTCTTGATCCTCACAGGACTGACTCCCACTGACAGTGTAACGTACAGCAGAAGCAGTCTAGGAGTGCAGCTTCAAACACAGTTCTGGCCGAGGGTAGGAAAAGTGTGCCACTGGCAGGGTTCTGAACATCCCCCGAGGGGAAATTACTGCAACTCAAGAGTTAATATCCCACCTTGTCTGTTGGTCGCCAGTCATTAGGCAACCGGCGGCAGAAAGAGCGAGAGTCCAAGACATAATACACGATCATGTAGGCACAAATAGGCGAGTCTGTACACACACACACACACACACACACACACACACACACACACACACACACACACACACACACACACACACACACACACGTATAGTGTAACAATATCAACACCCTCCAGTATAGTCAAGTCAGGCGCCTTACTTAATGCTGCCATCCCAGCCACATTTATTATATTCTCGACGACAACGCCCGCATCCCGATGACACCCCGGCACCGGGCTGTGTGCGGGACCCGTACACGGCACCGGGCTGTGTGCGGGACCTGTACACGGCACCGGGCTGCGTGCGGGACCTGTACACGGCACTGCTGCACCTGTGGTGCAGGTACTACAGTCGGGTTCCTTCTAGACTCGCTAGGGAGAATTCTGGGTTCGAATCCCGGGCTAGACAGAAATGGTTGGGCTCATTTCCTATCACCTAATGCCCCCCCGTCCACCTAGCAGTATGTAGGTACTCAGAAGTTAGTCAGCTTAATGTGGGGATGCGTCCTGGGAAGGGTCAGTAATTCCACCTCGCTAGAAGCCCAACATGTATGTATGTGTCTAATCACTTAGTTGTGTTTGCTGGGGTTGAGCTCTGGCTCTTTGGTTCCGCCTCTCAACTGTCAATCAACCGGTAATCAACTGTACTCACCTATTTGTACTCGCCTATTTGTGCTTGCGGGGGTTGAGCTTTGGCTCTTTGGTCCCGCCTCTCAACTGTCAATCAACTGGTGTACAGATTCCTGAGCCTACTGGGTTCTATCATATCTACATTTGAAACTGTGTATGGAGTCAGCCTCCACCACATCACTGCCTAGTGCATTCCACCTGTTAACTACTCTGACACTGAAAAAGTTCCTTCTAACGTCTCTGTGGCTCATGTGGGGACTCAGTTTCCACCTGTGTCCCCTTGTTTGTGTTCCACCCATGCTAAATTGTTTGTTTTTGTCCATCCTGTCGTTATTGTTGTTTTAGATTCAGCTACTCGGAACTAAAAGTTCAAAATAGCACGGGCTATGGTGAGCCCATTGTGGACTCACCTGGCACAGGAGGTGGCTGTAACTGGGAACCTTTCCCCTCTTCATCCTGTCAATTCCTGAGAATTTTATAGGTGGTGATCATGTCTCCCCTTACTCTTCTGTCTTTCAGGAACGAGAGATTTAGCTCCCGTACCCTTTCCTCGTAGCTCATACCTCTCAGTTCTGGGACTAGTCTGGTGGAATACCTCCAGTTTGTCCAGGTCATCCTGTAGTCTCTGTCTATCTTCATCTGTCTTGATTCTTCTCAAAAATTTTGAGTGGTAACTTGACAATGGTCCAGGTTGGACTCTAACGTTGTCGGTTCTCAAAATTTTTGGATCAGCAAAGACTGCGAGGAATGAGTTTATACCCTCTGGAAGATCGTTTACATATACTAGAAACAGGATGAGTCCAACTAAAGAGCCCTGTGGGACTCCGCTGGTGACATCTCGCTACTCTGATGTCTCCCCCCCCCCCCCACCCCTCACAGTTACTGGCTGTCTCTTGTTGCTTTGTTACTCCCTTATCCACTGGAGAACCTTAACTTTTACTCCTGCCTGTTTCTCCACCTTTTGTAACAGCCTCTTATGAGGTACTGTGTCAAAGGTTTTATGAAAGTAAGAAAATGCAGTCTGCCCACCCTTCTCTCTCTCGTCTAATTTTTGTTGCCTGGTCATAGAATTCTTTTAATCCTATGAGGCACGATTTACCATCCCTGAACCTTTGCTGGTGGTGTGTTACAAAGCTCGTCCTCTCCAGATGTTCCACGAGCCTTTTCCTCGCGATCTTCTTCACCTTGCATGGTATACAAGTTTGGAAAAGTAACCTATAGTTCAGTGCTTCTTGCCTGTCACCCTTTTTGTATATTGGGGCTACATTAGCTGTCTTCCTCGCGAGCTGTTTCTTCCCATAAGAATACTTGTCTCAATCCTTGTTTTAATAGTTCTTTCTAGTTGACTGGAGTTGGCAGACGTGTTGTTCTCTAAAGACGGTAGGCGGTGGGTGGATGGTGGGTGGGTGGATGGTGGGTGGGTGGATGGTGGGTGGATGGTGGTGGGTGGATGGTGGGTGGATGGTGGGTGGATGGTGGTGGGTGGATGGTGGTGGGTGGATGGTGGTGGGTGGATGGTGGGTGGGTGGGGGTGTGAGGAGCACACACTGCAGTGCGGACAGTCGGCTGGGATGAAAGCTCCGGGATAAGGCCAAGCCATAACGACACATTACCACACTTACACACCATCTTGTCCACAAGTGTCCGTGGGGGGCAGGGGCGAGGCAGGGGAACCGTTAGCCATCGCCAAGTATAAAAACCATATCTGCGAATTCACTCATTTTCCTATCTACGTGTAAATATTGAATGTGAAATACGATAGTTTTTAAGAGTATCATCTGGGGACAATGACCACCAGCCTTATCTTCCCTTCCCCTGAACCTTCTCTCAAACACCCGCATGGAAGGGTACCCCCCCCCCCCCCCCGCCCACACTCACACGCCCGCAGCAAGGGTAACCCCCCCCCCCCCGCCCACACGCCCGCAGGGAGGGGTATACCCCCACACGCCCGCAGGGAGGGATATACCCCCACACCCCCGGGAGGGAGGGGGGGGGGAGGGGGAGGACACACCCCACAGGTAAGCCAGGTACACTTACCTTCTCCTTGTGATGAGGCTTGGTGATGCGGCACTTGGGGATGATCTTGCCGGCGTAGGTCTGGTTGGTGGTGAGGTCCGTCACCTCGTGCACCCGCGCGAACCCGCCCTGTGGCCACGGAAAACACAAGTGTTAGTTATGCAAGTCAGAGACCCCTCCCCCCCCTTCTTCCCCCACACACACAGTCACCCCCCCCCACACACACACAGTCACCCCCCCCACACACACACAGTCACCCCCCCCCCACACACACAGTCACCCCCCCCCACACACACACAGTCACCCCCCCCACACACACACAGTCACCCCCCCCACACACACACAGTCACCCCCCCCACACACAGTCACCCTCATCCCCTCACGCACACTATCCTTCTCCCACACTGGATAGAGTAGGGGAATAAAATATTTCCTCAGAGGGGGTAAAGAGCACCCCCCCCCCCCCCCCGCATTTTACTCTTATTCTCAAGACAATTGAAAATTAGGTTTTCAGAGTACGGTTCATTTCACTAATTACAGTATGGTGATCAGGTACTTGTATTCTCTCCCGGTGATCACATGAGGGTACTCGACCCCCCCCCCCCCCTGGTGGAAATGACTGCACTAAGCAGCCACGTCATTTAGCATTTGAAATCAGAAAAAATATCCCAGAAATATTTTAACTGTTAATCTCTCTATTATAAGTCTTTATGCTACGCTAACTTTCCTCCCTGAAGAAGTAAGCTTCGGCCGCCATCCGGAAAAAATGGAGATGAAAATGCGTCAAATATTTTTTCCCTGTTAGTTTTAGTTAAATAGGTAACGGCAACGTTTTAAAGGGAAATTGAATTGTTGCAAATATGGTCCTGAGCATATGCTATCTCGGGGTAACTGTTTCTGTGAAAAAAGGTCGAAGTGGAGAGAGGAAATAAAAGGAGAGCGCGCGAGAGCAGCTTAATCTAACTAGGGAGGCTTAGCCAGTGAATATTTATTTTACCCACCGAATGAAATGTGTTGTCTCCACCTGTCGTACCATCGTTGACCCTCCTGTCCTGCGTGACAGTGAACACCAGCATTATCCTCACTTTAATAAGACCTAATTGAAATCCTCAGATTATTGACAATTACAATTTTCCCTAAAGATGTTTATAACAATAAGATGTCGTCGTTATCAAACTTAATTGAGAAAGTTATTCTGGTGTCACTGCAGGTTGTGGGTGTTGAACGGCTCTTGCTTCCAATAATTTAACTTCTTCATACACAACAGCCTACAGCAGAGACCATATTCGTAAGGTATGTAGAACCATTTACCTGCTTAACAATGCCCCAAGATCAATTGGTATGTGCTATTATCCTTTAAGCTCCCAACGGTCCTCGCTTCCTTGCCTTTTCTTTAAAATTATCGTTTCAAGGAACACACGAGAGAGATTCAGGCACATCAGTTTTGAGGAACGCAGTTGTTGAAGGGTATTTATCAATTTCACACAAACTGGATCTAATATCCTCTCGAACGATTCCTGCTGAACGATACGAAGGCGTTCATCCTGTCCGTTCTTCCTTCACGTGTTGTAAAAACTAGCAGAATCTTATGATCAGCGCCACGAAAACAAATGGTTGGTTCTCTTGTATCCAGAAGTGACAACGTAATCTTTATCATATATCTTATGAAGCCGGCTCTTGACAGTGTTGTCAGTAGGTACACTGCCTCAGAGATCTTGAAACACTTCACTGAATGAGAATCGACATTCTTCTCAACGTGCCTCGACATGTGAACATTCATGTGAACACACACATGATGTACTGTAGCAGTGCCTGGTCACACGGTCCTCTCTTCAGGTGTGTATGTAGATCGCTAAAAGAACTTTCCTGAGAACGATCCGTGACACCTTCCCTCTGGTGCCACCATGTCTGATACATTATAGTTACAGTGTCACTTCTCAGCCCCGTTTAACTTTCATTCTTTTTGGCTACCTCGAAAGCATTGTTTTTTAAATTACAGACTTTTAACTTCAGGCCCTGTATCACGTTTATCCATTGGTCTCTGAATCCCTTTTAACTAATTTTTTCCGAAACATCCTCTAACAAAGAAAGCAGTTCCTTTTGAGGTCAAACAAATTGTAACTTTACCTTCCAACGCCGATTGTTGAGGAAGATTGTTTTCCTCTTGCTTTAACTGCTGCAACAATGTTATTCTCTAGTGTATGATTGTTGATATCTTACAGTCACAGCAACACTTGCTAGTCTGTCATGGTGAATTATTTTATTCTCGCCTCTTTCTTTTTCTCGTGCTTGTCTTTTCTTCCCTTTAGTTCAATATTATTCGAGACGCTTCACAAATAAAACTCAAATCTGAATCCATTTCAAATATAAAAAAAAAATCAATTACAGTAATACAGTATAACAAGTATTATCATTTACTGTAACAGCAGCAGCACAGGCAAACTGCTCTCCAGTCCTGAAAAATAGAAAACACTGATGATTTACTAATATTATCGACTTGCCATTACTCACTTTCCTATAACCTTATGTACAGTAAAAAAAAATTACTTGCTTTTTAAGTAATGTATCAAAAGTCTAATTTACCTAGAAATTAATGCCAATTATATTTCGAACTTTTTTTCTCTGAACCCGTGAACATGGCTGAGGACCATTTAGGTAAATAATTAATAATAATTAATCTTCACTAAGTATTCGTTACCTATTTAGCTAACAAATTTTTGGCGCCATTTTCTCCAAGATGGCGGCGGAAGCTCACTTCTCCCGAAGGGGAAACTTAAGCCTAGAAAATGAACTCTATTTAGCTAACAGTTGATAAACATTATTTCTTTTAACGTAGTTTCAAGCTTTCTTTGAATGTTTTTTAGAATTACCATTATTTTTTTGGCTTAATTGAAAACGCTACCTTTCACAACACATCTTCCTAACAAGACATAAGAACAACGTTGGCCACCACAGGGCCAGCTTGAGCGTGTATGGCCAGGTACAGCATCACCCAATCAAAACAAGGTTCAAACAGGTTTTAGTTCATTTAGTGTGCCTCGAATATTGTGGGAGTGGTGGTAGAAAGGTTACAGCGGTCCATGATGGGCTCAGCTACTCGGCCCCAAAATTCGTTTACCTTAGCAAGTTACAGCATTGATGACCGGCTTACATAATTTAACATGTATCTCTGTCTACAGTTTTCGAAAGTTCAGCTTAATGTGGCCCCCCCCCAGGTTATTGTAGCCGCCCCCCCCCCCCCCCTCAGGCTACAATAGCTTCTTAACTGCTCTGACACAAACAAATCCCACTACTCTGGTTGTGGCTCGCCTACATACTAGGCCTCCGCTTGTGTCCCCTTGTTCGTGAACGTGTAAAATAGGTCGCCCTTCTCTACCTTGTCAATTCCTCCGAGAATGTCAACTGTCAGTCCCTGCTATATAGTATCTGAACTAGACAGCCCGGATAACCATCTCTTTTAAAACTCCAGCCCCTACTTGAGAGCAGAGATGCCAATCCTCCCCTCCTCCTTCCGTCTCTTTCCTTTATAAGTAGTAGTCCTGCAGAAACACTATTTGTTATGATGACTTGAGACCCGGGTTCAATCCCCGGTCTTGACGGAAATAATTTGGCCAGCTTTTCCTTTCACCCGATGCTGGGGTTCAACTAGCAGTAAATAGGTATCTGAGATTTTGAAGTTGTGGGCCTACGTGTTGGAGAGGTGTGTAATATATGGATGTAAAGAAAATACGTCGGGAGTCGGTACATTAGACAACCATCGGTGAGAAAGGTGTTCAAAACGTGTTAGCTCGACAAATAGGCACAAATAGGTGAAGCCACCAATTTACCGCCATCCCCGACCACACTCGCCCCTACACCCTTCGTCTAGGAAATTGTGATGGTAAAGCTAAGCGCACCAAGCCAGAATGAGAATGAGGTTAGAGCAGGTTTGTTTTACATTATGGATAAAACGAAGCCCAACTTCCAACATTAGCTTGGCAAGGTCCTTCAAAATTCAGTGGAGAGAGAACGCGTCAAGAGTGCTTAAAACCTCAACATTGTCTGTGTGTGTGTGTGTGTGTCTGCCTGTGTGTGTCGGTCTGCCTGTGTGTGTCGGTCTGCCTGTGTGTGTCGGTCTGCCTGTGTGTGTCGGTCTGCCTGTGTGTGTCGGTCTGCCTGTGTGTGTCGGTCTGCCTGTGTGTGTCGGTCTGCCTGTGTGTGTCGGTCTGCCTGTGTGTGTCGGTCTGCCTGTGTGTGTCGGTCTGCCTGTGTGTGTCGGTCTGCCTGTGTGTGTCGGTCTGCCTGTGTGTGTCGGTCTGCCTGTGTGTGTCGGTCTGCCTGTGTGTGTCGGTCTGCCTGTGTGTGTCGGTCTGCCTGTGTGTGTCGGTCTGCCTGTGTGTGTCGGTCTGCCTGTGTGTCGGTCTGCCTGTGTGTCGGTCTGTGTGTGTATCTGTATGTGTCTGTGTTTGGAAGTCACAGACAAGAAATTAATGTTTATAACAGCACACAACTACAGTATTTTTTGAGAGAGTAGCACAACGCAAGTCCCTGCTGCCTTACCACGCCCACGGCCCTAAACGACCCGCCGCCCCTGCTGCTGCTCCATCTCATGTGACCCAACAACCTTGTTAAACCAAGGCCATAAAGGATGACATGTGGCTCTGCTTCAGTTTTACCTCCACTCCCTTCCCCACCCCCCTCCCCCCACCCCTTCCTCTTGTGTGCACTTGTCTGCACGGGTTCCCAGCCAGCTTGCATGTGTGGTGTCGCTCTGTCTGTTTAATGCACAATCATGCAAACCAAACTAAGTTTTTTTTCTTTCTTGCCAAGACCGTCAAACTATCCTTACACTGACAACTTTGAGGGTGAATACCGTGATGAAGGCAGTACCAGGGGTCGAGGTATATTGTTCCTTTGGTGTTAAAGGTCGTCTTTCATTCAGTTTGAGTGACTGAAGCACCTGTGGCCTCTTGACTACCAGTTACTCACACCGTATACAGTGGAACACACAGCACAGCACACACAGGCACGTGTCTCCAACAGATGTCTGTCCTGTAGTGTTGTGCTCAGCTCAATCTCAACCGAATGGAGCCATGTTTGATTCCTGGACAGGACGAGAGGCGTATTTAGCATAAAGCGGTATTTGTAAG